GTGAACTTCAACTCCCAGAATTCCCCAGTCGGAATGCTTTAAGACAAATGGACTTCAACTCCCAGAATTCCTCAGCCAGAATGCCTTAAAACAGGTGGACTTCAACTCCCAGAATTCCCCAGTCGGAATGCTTTAAGACAAATGGACTTCAACTCCCAGAATTCCCCAGTCGGAATGCTTTAAGACAAATGGACTTCAACTCCCAGAATTCCCCAGTCAGAATGCTTTAAGACAGGTGGACTTCACCTCCCAGAATTCCCCAGCCAATTTGGACACTTGGCAAGGAGCATGTATTTATGATGGTTACAGTGTCCCAAGGTGATAAACCTTCCCAATCCGATTCTGACAAGGAAGTACAATGGAGGAAGCCGGACGATTCATTTAGGAATGGCAGTGACTCGTTTAACAACTGTGGCCAAAAAAGGGGGTCATAAAATGGAGCAAAACTTTCTTAACTACTTACTGGCTTTGCCCTGGAAATTTTGGGCTGAAATTGTGGCCGCCAGTCGAAAAATAATGGTTTTTATTTGGGAATTCACAGCCCTTGTTCTTGCTTTGGCCTCCTCGGTCTGTTTCCTCAGGAAGTAAGAAAAGTTCCTCACATCACCTCACTGCCCCCCCACACACACACACTTCACCTTGTGAACAGCTCAACACCTTCGCACCAAAAGGTGTGAAGAAAATCATCCCAAAAAGGAAGGCACGAGTCAGTGAGGGACAGGTGAAAACATGTGAATATTCTGACTTTGCCAGAAATGAAGCAGACGATGATTGGGTTGGCATTAAGAAGAAGAGGAGGAGAGGAGGAGGAGGAGAATTGGAGAGGGAGAAGACAAAAGGGGGAAAAAAGGGAACGCAGAAGGAAAAGAGGAAGGAGGAGAAGGAAGAGCAAAATGAAGAGGAGGAGGGAAGGAGGGAGAGAGAGAGAGAGAGAAGACAACGGCAGTGAAGGAGAAAGGAAAGAAGGAGAAGAGGAAGGAAGAGAAAGAGAAATGGGGAAAGAAGAGAGAGCAAAGAGGAGAAATGTAGCGAAGGGAAGAAAGTATGAAGGAAAATGAAGAAGAGAAGGAAAGAAGAGAAGAAGCAAATGAAGGAAGAAGAAAATTGACAGGAGGAGGAGGAGGAACAGAAAGGTAACTATATTTAGCCTCCACATATTAACCTAGGGATCCAAGAAAGAAATAAAAAACTCAAGAAAAAAACATTCCTTTTTATCAGACATCAGCCAAGACATTTTAATTTAGTTTAGGTTCTCCCTCCCTCCTTCCATTCATTCTCTCCTTTCCTTCCTTCCTTCCTTCCTTCCTTCCTTCCTTCCTTCCTTTCTTCCTTCCTTCCTCCCCCTCTATTTCTCCATTTCCTTCCTCCTTCCCTCCTTTCTCTATTTCCTCCCTCCCTCCCTCCCTCCCTCCCTCCCTCCCTCCCTCCTCTATTTCTTCCCTCCTTCCCTCTTTCTCTATTTCCTTTCTCCTTCCCTTTTTTCTCTATTTCCTTCCTTCCTCCTTCTCTCCCTCCTTCCCTCTGTTCTATTTTCTTCCTTCCTTCCTTCCTCCCTCCCTCCCCCTCCCTCAATTTCTCTATTTCCTTCCTCCCTCTCTCCTTCCCTCTATTCTATTTCCTTCCTTCCTCCTCCCTTCCTTCTCTATTTCCTTCCTCCCTCCCTCCCTCCCTCCCTCCCTTCCTTCCTTCCTTCCTTCCTTCCCTCCCTCCCTCCCCCTCCCTCAATTTCTCTATTTCCATCTTCCCTCCCACTCTCCTCTATTCCCTCCCTCCCTCAATTTCTCTATTTCCTTCCTCCCTCCCTCCTTCCCTCTATTCTATTTCCTTCCTTCCTTCCTCCTCCCTTCCTTCTCTATTTCCTTCCTTCCTTCCTTCCTTCCTTCCTTCCTTCCTTCCTTCCTTCCTCCGTAATTCCCCCCCCCCCAAGTCAATCCAGAGGCTACAATCCAAAATCAACCCAATCCTGCCCAGAAGGGGTAACTTCTAAATTCGGAGTGCCGAACAGATTCTGTAAATCAAACGCGGTTCTGTGTGTGTGCTTCGAAAACGGAATCCATTCTGCTCCTGACCACCCGTGGGAAGCCAAGGAGAAGCTGCACAAGAGCGTGAAGGGATGGGGCCTCCCTGGGTTATTCCAGCTCAGCTTATATCATCTCTTCGGGCTTTAGAAAATACTTTCAGCCAGGGCCAAAAATCCACCATCCATCAAATATCGTTCTTAGCAACTCAGCAACAATGTGAAAAAAGAAAAGAAAAGAAAAGAAAACTACCCCCAAACCAAAAAAACCACACAAGTCAATAACTTTTGCTAAAACTTCAGATCTCTCCAATCTCATATTTCACTTCCACATCTGCCAAAGGTGGCTGGTTGCTTTTTTTTTTTTTTTAAATATGGCTTTGAAGTTTATTTCTAAGTTTATTTCTTACTCTAAGGTGGACTTTTCTGCATGCAGAAGGTGCATTTCTAGACTGCATTTTAACAGATGAAGAGAGTTGGAAGGGACCTTGGAGGTCATCTAGTCCAACCCCCCCCCCAACCTCAAAGCAGGAAACCAACTCTGACCAATGACAGTCTAATCTCTTCTTAAAAGCCTCCAGTGGGCTTTTTCTGCAAACAAAGGGAATCTACATTTATAGACTGCCTTTTGTTCATGCCTTCCCTAACGCAGGAGACAATGGTGGGGGTTCAAATTTTTTTACTACCGGTTCTGTGGGTGTCGCTTGATGGGTGTGGCATGGCTTGATGGGCATGGCAGGGGAATGATACTGTAAAATCTCCACTGCCTACCCACCAAGTGGTGGGATTCAAATAATTTAACAGCTGGTTCTCTGCCCTAATGATTTCTTCCAATAACCACTTCACCAAACTGCTCAGAAAGTCAACAACTGGTTCTCCCAAACTGGTGCGAATTGGCTGAATCCCACCACTGGTCCCAACTCCACTAACCTGCCTTCCAGTTCCGTTCTCCTGTGCAGGGCAACCAAAGAAGACCCAGCCGATCAGCTGGGACTCAGGAGGCAGAGAAGAGATGGGGGTGGGGCCAGTTAGAGGTGGGATTTGCCAGTTCTCTGAAAATCCTCTTCTAGGCAGCCGAACGTCGACTTTCAGAATGGTTGTGGTTCGCCGGAAGCAGGTGCAGACACCTGAGCTCTCGGAGAGCGAGGACTCGGATGAGGGGCCTGCGTGTGATGC